CGGCATTCTTGCAATACAATGTTCCGAGAAACCTTCGTCGCCAAACATAAATTTTTCACGGCAACGGCTTTCGGTGCAGCCGAACGGATGTCGAAAGCTTTCTCAAACGGAGCCTAAATAATTATGCAAAAGAAAAAGAAAAAATCTAGAAGGAAATTTACAGATAGTGCATGTTTGAAGCATGAAATGCCTTTTGTCTGAATCCATATATTTGCTTTGCAGGGCTAGACGTGGACAGGTTCTGACCTACAACACTTTAGTGCTTGCTGAGTGCTTCTGGATCAATTTGATGTGGTCTGGCGTGGGCTACTGAACCAGTGATGAACAGTAGGAAGCACTTTAACCCTCCACTTTCCTTGTATCTAAGATCATGATGAACAGTGAACTGATTAAAAGCTAGCATACGTGAATTATTGTACTTTACCATTTCTTAGTAGGCAGTTGAGGATATCTTGCTTGCTTTTCATAATGAAATATATTATATCATTATTGAAAAAAAATCAAAATATTTTGATCATTTATTCTTATCTTAATGTGATATAGATTGTAAGGAGCTACTTGGTTGCAAGTAGTATTCAGTTTAGACGGGATTTAGTTAATCCTGATTTATGAAATCTTGAAAGAGTTAAATTATGAAAATTGTTTGGCATGTTAATAAGTAAATCATAATAAATAGGATTCATAGAATTTATCGTCCCATACGCTTTAGCTTCTCTGAATTTCGTAAATCCTTTTTCCAGTGGGATTTACTGATCCCGAATTAAAGACAAAAAGAACCGGTATGATTTTTGAATGCCTTTTTCGTCGTTTGACAGGATTTAGCATGCATCATGCGTAGATCGGGCTACCAAACAGCCCCGAAATGCATCTTTCTATGCATTACACTCTTCTTTAACAAAAATGGGTAGTGCAAAAGACTCATGCAAACCAAAATATGATTGGCTTATATGAAAGTGATTAACAGTGTTAATCTTTGAAGTTAACAAGTTGATAAATAATTATGTTTTAGATTTCATACCAACATCCATGTTAATATAAACACATCCAAATAAGAAGAAATGTGCATGTATAAGATGTATGAAGCAGCAATTAATAAGATATTCCAACGAAATATAGTACATTAACCCCTAGATACACTAATTCTAAGCAAACTTCTAAAACTATTTATTTCTAATAGGTTATCTCACATAAAAGAAGAAAATTTATTTATATGAATCAGATGAAATTTCAAACTGGTAGCTATAATATGTGACATTTGATGGCATGATGGACAAGAAGTTAGACATGTATTAATTTTTGGATTAAGAAGGATTGCAATATCTACCATACTAATTAGGGACTTGAATCCTCTCCAACATTTCACTATAAATTGTAGGGATTGAATTTATCAAAACTTGAATAATTTTAAAAATAAAATTGATGCATTCATCAAATACGTGCATAGTATAACAATCGAATTTTAAATAGGGTTGTAATCGAGTCAAGATGAGTCGATTATGTTGTGTATTGGACTTGGATTGATAATAATATAAGCTGTTCATTTTCTTAATAATTGGACTTACATGGCCTGTGCTTGATTTGTTTTGTTTAATTGGATGATTACTCCAACATGCTAATAAACAGTTAAAAATTATAATGAGTATTTGGCTTTTTATATAAAAATATTAATAAATATTTTATAAATTTAAACAAATAAGCAATCAAATAAATTTCAAATTATTGTTCATCTAATTTACACCAATTAAATAAGATAATATAATAAGTAACTAGTAAATTACCTTACAATCAAATAATATAAATAAAAACTAACAAACTACCTTACACCAGTTAAATAAGATAATGTAATAATACACCATCTTCGGGATACATTGTTACATCATCTTCAGAGCGTGTTAGTCCATCGAATGCTTTATTACTCCACAAGACTAGTTGTTACCTCATATAGTGCTTCGTTACTCCGCTACTAGCGTGCGCTGAGATTCTTCAACACGCGTCTTGATTTTGCAAGGTGTTTTGTTGTGATGAGTAGGGGATGATCGATAGTGGTCGTTGGTGGTCAGCGAACAATAGTCAATTGTGGTTGGGTATTGCACAAGTGGGTGGTGTTTGTTGGACCTTTGATGTAGAACACTAGAGCTTAGCTTCTTCTCCTTCAATGCTTGGTCTTGCTTCAATTCAAGTTCTCGATCCCATTCTTCATTTAAGAGATATGACTCTATTTATAAAGTATAGGAGATGACTCCTCACAAATAAGGAATGAATTCAAACAACTCCATCAGACGATCAAGACACTCCTCACAAATAAGGAATGAATTCAAACAACTCCAACAGACGATCAAGACAGATCCCCTTGTTCGGATGGCTTGATCGGATGTCGCTCTGCGAATATTTGAGTGCCTTAAAGATATTGAAATTGAGGGATCCTGGGCTCATTGGATTCGTCTTTTTGAGACAATCGATTTAATAATAAACTTGTCAGATTTGAAATCTGTTTGACTTTCTAGTTAGACACCAGAAACTTCTAAAAATGGTTTAATAACTTGATCTTCACTGGATTTGACTCGGATTGGGTCAATGTCGGTGCCATTACATTATTTTCATTGAGTCGACTAGTTTGACCCTAAGTTTGTTAAAAATCGGAGTTTTATATGATTCTTAATTGAAGTTTATACTTTTTTTGCTAAAAATTACTCTTAGATATGTGTTGATTGCCTTGATTCATGTCATGATGACACTTTGTTGATGGTGTGTCAATACCATTAATGCTAAATTATTATATGTTATTATTACATATTTAATAAAATAAATTCTAATTTATTAAATTTTTTAGTCAATATTTCATATAACCTTAGAATTAATAAAGTACTTTTTGAACAACTAATGAAATTGCTCGTTAACATAAATAAGCAAAGTTAAAACATTTTTTATCTTTGGTTCATCTAATCTTCGATTTTTTAAAAAATGAAAAAAAAAATTATTTACTAATTTGAGCAAATATGATCAAAAATCAATCTAGCCTAATTTGAGTTATTCATTTAGTGCATTGATTCATTTATCACCCAAGTTCCAAGCCTATTTATACATATTAAATAGCATTCCCAAGCAATAATGTATATCTCAATTTTTTTTTCGAAAATTGAGCCCTAATTAAAGCTAGCTAAGAAATTAGTTGTTAGTGGTAGCGTATATTTTGAACTTTGGATCTCTAAGTATAGAGAATGCTCTCTACCAAGTAGTTGAAAGGCAACACCTAGCTAGGGTTGGCAGCACATGCTTTGATCTTGTTTGGCTTTTAAGCTGAGATAGAGACATTAATATTTCAAAAACGAAGGAGAGCAGAAGAAATAAGCGAAACAAAACAGAGCACTGTTTCAGATTGACAGAATGCATTCATTCTACTTTCAGAAACTTGATGTTAAGTAATGAGGGTGAGGTCTTTGATTCTGCATGGCTGGTTTGGCTGGCCCTGATATTTCCTTCACATGATGGCGAATCAGCTCGCCATGCAAACCCCATGCTGTGATTTTAACGTACATTCATTACTGTGATTTGACGTAAAGTGAAAGGCTCTATAAAAGCTGGCCGGTCGGTTCTTTTAGCCATTCCGGGGGAATGGTGAGCCCCTGGAGATTGCTAGCTTTAGTTTATTATGTCGGAACTTGGTTAACAGACGCGGTTTTTTTATATTGGCGGTGCAAGTGAGTCAAGTCAGGTTCGTGAGTCAGATTTAAGTGACTGTGATCTGCACTGAATGAGCTAAGAAGTTAATCTCTAGTTAGTCTCGATTCAACTCGTTGGCCCGTGAGCCAGCTTATTTAAAAATTAATTAATAAGAAATGTACTTAAAAATATCAAAATTCAAGAAATTTTCTTTAAATTATTAAAAATAATTAAAATATGATCTTTTGCATTTTATATTAATTAATTTATGTTAATTATCTCTTAATTATTCTATTTGTTATTTCATTATAAAACTAACTTAAGTTAATCTTTGTTTCTTTGTCATGTGAAACAAATTAGCTCGTGAGCAGGCTCGACCTTATAAAATTAAGCTCGAGCTCGAACTCGATTAATTAATCAACTTCAAATTCAAAATAACTCAAACTCGACTCTACTCATTTATACCCCTAATGTCATATAATCAAGAAATTTAAAAAGATTGATGTGCATGGAAGGAAGGGGCTCGACTAAGTAAATAAGTGATTTTTTTTTCTTTCTATATGTTATTGATTTGAATTATTCCCTATATATATAAAATAAATTGTTCCCTCTCCTTTAGATTTTAATATATATATATATATATATATTCATTTAAAAAACTCCTACAACTTTATCATATCTATCACACTTGTGAATATATCTCTATGAAAAATTAATTATCACCGCAAATTATATTTTAACAAATATCAATAAATTAGAAGTATGATAATGCTTTGTGTTGAATATGAATCTGTCCGATAAATCTTGCTCAAGGAATAGAGCGTACGAGAGAGAGAGAATAGAAAGAGAGAGAGAGAGAGAGAGAGAGAGAGAGCGAGAGAGAGATGAGAGAGAGAGAGAGAGAGAGGAGAGGAGGACTTCCCCCAGCGGGGGAAATGAGGCGTTCCCAGGCTCGTAGGCCTACTTTATTTATCAAAGATATGTGTTACAATTGGGATCCCACCCAAAAAAGGTTCCTTTTACATAACAAAACTATTCTATTTATAGAATATAGGAGTATACAAAAATTACATATTTGGTCATGCTATTAAAAGATAAGCAAAATGCATTTTAGTCATTTTTATTTCGACCATTAGATCGTCTCGAGATCGATGCATACTTTTATGTCTATGTTTGTCAGCCGACTGAAGTGAGGTGGTCGAGGGAGAGAAAGCTTGGCGGTCAACGGAAGTGAGGTGGCCAAGGGAGAGAGCTTGGTCATTTGACTGCAATGAGGCGGCCGACTACTGGATTGCCTCAAGATTCGTGTAGACCTTTTTTAAATATATATTTCTGTTGAATCTAGGAATGTCCGGGAAACATGATACAAAGTGTAACATTAATTCATGACATGAACCCCCAATTTATAAGCATAGATATCGGTGTTATAAAATTACATATTAACCTTCTCATCATTCATCATTGACTTTTCAAATGAACTTTTTAGTAATTATAGAGTTATTCAAATGTAAAATAAATCGGGGAACTTATTTGATTGATAACAGTTCTCAAATCGTCCGATAAGCCTCGACTCGATCAATACTTAATCTGAAAGGATGCTTCTTATCATTCGTCCTGAGGGCTGATTACTACCTTGCAGGAAATCCTGACACATTCCGCCCATCGCCCAAGCAAGACGTCCCTCTAGCCTTCTTCCAACCTGAAACGGTCGTCAATCAGCCATGTTCGATCGGTTGTTTCTTGCTCCAGAACCGTTTATCTGTCTTGAGATTCGTGTTAACAGTTTTTATATATACAACTTTGAATATCAAAATAATAAAAAAGAATCGCTCAAAGCAGGTCCTTAATGAATCATTAGTAAGTTCAATTTGAATTAACTGACTAAGCATGAAATTTTGAGACAAATTTTGTCACGGTTAAATGACTCATGATCTGTTTCACTCATGATGTGTTTCACTATAAATATTTTATCAACTGTTTGTTTTGCTGATCAACTGTTTAAATCCAGTCAAATGAGTATGCATTTGTCATCACCTATACTTAGCAAAATAACATATAACATGGTCATCACTTCTTTGATTATCGACATGGCTGAATTGTCATAAAAAAAGAAAATGTTTCCTCTCAAGAAAAAACTTCTCTGATGACAATGATCAATATTGGCTGCAGGATTCATGAACCATTAAAGCAAATTTAGGGTTTCTTTTGAGTTAAGCTTACATACAAAATCTGATCATGAGGACTTGAGAAAATAACTTAACTATCCCCCTTTTCAAAATCCAAATTCACAATGCAGTAAATTCAGCTTAATTTTAAATCCACCTTTTCTCAATTACTTTTCAAATAGAGCAAAGTTGATAAGAAATCAAATCTCAGCTCATCTGGCGACCACTTTAGTTAGGAATCATACCTTCTGCCTGCCTATTTGAGAACCATAGACCCCACTCGTCCGAACACTTAAATCTTCTTTCAGATGAGAAAATATTAGGTGCGTGCAACACATTTATGGACAACAAATAGTATTTGAGCACGTCCTTTTATTTTGTCTTATCAAAACATTCACATTTGCTGCTAGTGCACATTAATTAGCTTTTAGAACCATCTCATCAGCTAATTTGGCTTATATAAGCTACCATGTATGCATGGCTAAAGCTCCTATGTGATCTTGAGTGCTTAATTTATAGTTGATGTATTTGAGATAGACATAGCCATGACTTTCATGAAATGGATTTGCAGATTAGTGTTTGTTTGTTATATTTGGATCATTAAGTTGGAGTTTAGCGCCATTGCTGATGCATTGAGGTATATTATGGGAATTTCAGGGCCGAGTGGATTTGGTTCCAACTCCACCGGGGAGCATGTTACAGAGGGTGTCTCTCCTCTTCCTCAGCTAACAGCCATTATCACAGGTTAGTTCATGTATTAATTTTATGGAGGAATTACAGAGTATGTACATGTTCAATTCTTTGTTTAGCCAGTAGGCCTTTAATTATAATAATTATTGAATATTCTGTTCTAAACTTACAGAAGTTAGTAAAAATATTGATCATCTATTATTCTGCAAAAATGATACATTGCTTGCACACACAAATTGATGTGAGAGTTCATTCTTAATATCATAAATCTTATTAAAAATATATTTTTTGGTGAATTGATTTAATTTTTACCCCTGAATTTGATTTTGGGCAGTTCTTCGTGTATAACAACCATTGTTTCTCATTAATTAGAAGTTTTGAAGGCTCACCAGAAAAAAAACTAATTAATGTTTATGCATGCATAACTTTCATATGCTCATAAAGAAGAGAAAATATGCAGACGAAGGTGTGAATTACATCATATCATGTGTTCGACAATATGATGCTAAACTTGTCTAAGACAACTTCTCGTTTACTTTCCTCTAATTAAAGTTGAAAGCCTATACTTATAATTCTTTTGGCATATATATGCATCTATATATGATCATTATAATGAATTAGAGTTTTAAATTTATACAACTTATAGGGGCGACTTCAGGGATCGGAGCGGAGACAGCGAGAGTGCTGGCGAAGAGAGGAGTGAGGTTGGTGATACCAGCCAGGGATTTGAAGAAGGCTAGAGATGTTGAGGAGAGGATAAAGAAGAAGAGCCCAAAGGCTGATATCATTGTGATGAAGATGGACCTCTGTTCTTTTGCCTCCATACAAAACTTTTGTTCTAATTTTCTTAGCCTTGGTCTACCACTCAACATCCTCATGTAAACATCTCTCTCAAAAAGTTATTACATACTTAATATATATAAAAAGACTATTTTTAAGAATATTAAATTACTATATGAAATATGACATTTTAAAGGTGAGTTGTTTTGATATTATGATTGTAAGAATATTTTTCTTAGTTTTATCCTTGATGTATTTTCTATATTTTTTTTCACTGTTCAAAATTTTGCAGAAATAACGCCGGGAAGCTTTGTAGAAGTTTTGAGCTGACTGAAAATAAGTTGGAGATGACGGTTGCTACGAACTATATGGGTAATTACTTTCAAGGCTATTCATTTAGCTTAACAGTTTTAGAGTTTAATGTATGTATAATCATATAGTTTTGAGTTAGAAGCTCAAAACATATGTTGCATAAATTTAAAAATATTTGAGAAAGTTTCAACTCTGTAGAAAGGTAAATAAAGGACATTTATATGAATACATAGCACACAATTGTTATGTATTTCACATATCTCAGACCTAAACTTTAATTCATATCGACATACATATCACTTTGGTGTTTTAAACCTATTCATGTAAAGGTGCATTTTATTTTTGTAAGAAAATAGTAATAGTGTTATATTTTTAAAATGATATTAAATATTTAAATGGTGTGTATAAATATGAAAATTTTGGGGTGAGATATGTAATGACATTAGAATTGTTGATTGTGTGCTATGCATGTATAGGGGTGTAAACGAGGCGAACACGAGCTGAGCCCTCGTTTATATTTTGAGCTTAAAAAGTGTGTTCATGTTCGGCTCGTTTGCTTAGTGAGTCGAACACGAGCGTTCACGAACAAAAAGTTATTTTAACAACTTTAATCACAAAGGCAGAAGATGTTAAGGATTGGGTCAAGATTTAAAACATCATTTGAATCTATTTTAATAATTTTTATTCTATCTTCTTCATTAATACTTTTAATTGATTATAAATCTTTATAGCCTTGTAGTCAATTAAATTTTTAAAACACACTACTCATCAAAGAGATATATATAATTGATTAGTAGTATTTCCAGCCGAACACGAACGAACAAATATTTGTTTGTGTTGTTCGCGTTTGGCTCGTTAACTTAGCGAACGAGCTGAACACGAGTTTCTTAACGAGCTGTTCGCGAACAACGAGCCGTTTTGACAGCCCTAAACACACGATAATGAGGAAGAATTATTCCATATGTCCCCATTTTGAAAATTTAAAACCCCTGAACCAGGTCATGATAATCTTGTCCAATCTAATCAGCATTGTCAGATTATATCCTGATAATTTGTAAATATTTCAAACTATGTTTGATTTGCTAACACATTACATCCAAATTGATTAATCTATCATTAAACATCAAATAGGGAGGCCGGCCGGCCCTAAATCACAACAAAAAAATATTTAAGATGAAAAAAAAAGTACCATAAATAAATCGGCATATATCCTTATAAACATCATAGTTAAGCAAGCACCCCAAAATAAATACAAGTCAACTAATAGTAAGAATATAAAAGTCATAACTTCAATGAAATAACATCTTGATGCCTATTTCATTATTACACCAAGTACATAAACCAAGTTAATGAAAATATAATTGTAAGCTATTTAAGCACTTTAATCATCTCTAGATTATCTAATAATTATCTAATAATTGAGAGCAATAAAATCTATATACATCACTACAGGAGAAAATACTAAAATTATATATAGTTTTAAGTTTACCAAATTAAGAAAAATAAAGTTTATTACTTATTAATTTGGTTTATTGAACTAAGGCTAATTTTTTTGTCTTAAAAGAGTTCAGTTGCTTCTCACAAATAATATAGAATAGGAGCTCAATATGTAAAAGTAATTTAATTTACTTGAAACAAATGCTAAACAAGACATATCATAATGGATTTTATTTTATTAATTTTTTTTAAGATCAAAGCTCTATTTCATCATGATGATGGCATGAATCCTGAAGACTACGTTATCATGCATGGACTCTGAGAAGATCAAACACTTTTGATCCCAAAAGAACCTCCAACGCGGCTTCCCTTTACATAAATGTTGTACTAACATGTGCATTGCATTCATATAATTTTGGGTTATCATCTCTCTATTGCGCTCAATCACAGTGTAACCTCACAATAATGGCCTCTCTTCTCATTGATGCCAGTTATCCTTAGCTCCTTTGTTGGAGCTTAGTGACCATGGTCATTTGGATGTGATGTGCTTTCCTAATGTTGATTGACATCCTCGAGTAAGAAAGATTTGGTGATCATCTCTACTTACTTTACATTCTCTAAAAGTGGAGCAGCTTAATGAGACAAATTTCTAATAATTGATATGTTTGAATCACCAATCATTTTTATCGTTTTCTTGTTCTTTGGCCATAGATATATCATTCAACACTACCATTCTGTTAGTTTACAAGGTGAATTCTCCAACCCTTTGTATTTGTGCTCTAAAGTTCATGCATCTACCCTCTGATGTGCGAAACAAGAGGTTTGTGTTTAGGGTGTTTTATTGACCTTGAATTTTATCATCCCCTATAAAACTTTAAAATTTAGTAAGGTTGCATTATCCATGAAAAATATTGATGTTATATATACTCAAATTTTTTCTTTAGTGGGGTGGTTTTAGTATTTTTTTATTTATTTTAAGAACATGTTCTATTTATCTTTAGAATTTTCTAAGAAACAACATTTTGGATATGATTGATCGATTATTTCTTCTTAAATTCTCATTCTCTAGTAACAGGGCTCATGATTTAACTTTTAGAAGTCTTTTGATTTATGTAAAATGTTAAAAGTTTGATGCTTACCAAGGGAAACCGTAAATCATTTTCCTTATAGATAAAAAAAATGAGCTTGCATCTTTTTTTGTTGGATAAATGATATCGCTACAAGTAATAATTTTGTTGAAAATATAATAAAATTATGACAATTTTATACGTTCCTTAATTTGAATTAAGATTTACATTTCAAAAGATTTGTGTCCATATTACTCCTCTTCTCTATCTAATATAAATATTCTAAATTTTCTTGGTAGACTCTAGAAAAAGTTATAGCTTATGATTTAAAAATGTTGTATTATCCAAGTTTTAGTCCATTCTTTCATTCATTATTACCATTCATTCATTCATTATTACCTTGCTTAATCCTTATACCGACATAACCTTTCATAAAAATAAACTTTATGTATAGTCCAACTTCAAATTAACATGTTTTCAATGATCACAAACTACTCCTCTAGTATTCTCAATTTAAATGCCTATTTCATTCTTAAAACCAACTTTATTAACTTGCATGCCTCCAATCATTCATTGTGTTGAAATTTCAAAGGACACGGTGGTTTTAGTTTTTTTTGGTGGAGAATGCTAATTAGCTTAGAAATTCATAAGGAAGTGAGCCTTAAGCGGATAATGATTGATTTAAAAATGTGAATTCTAGTAAAGTATATATATGAAAAAAGAAGTGACTTGCTTAAAGTTTGTGGGCCAAATTATGTTGAGCTTGGACCAAAAAATCTATAGCACAACTCAATGATGCAATTTAGTTATGAGAAAATTTTGTGTTGGTAGTGAAGAGATTGAACTGATAAGTGTAGTGGTGGAAGCTCCCAAGGTATATACTTCGAGCTTTTTTCTCACACACACACACACATATATATACAAGTTATAATACTTTAAAGTTATGACATACTAGTTATCACTTTTCACTTACACATGCTTTTTCTTTGGTATTGTGAGTTCTTCTTTTTCACTCATAATTTTTAGACATAAATTTTTTTTAGTTGTGTTATTTAGCCTATTATTCCTCATTATTATTTTGAATTTTAAGTTTTTTTTTTGTATCTTGATTTCACCATAAATAAATATTGCATCTGATCGAAATATGATGGATAACATAAATGATTCTCCTTCAATAAGAAATATTATTGTTGTGATCAGTTCTAATTAATGTAGTAAGAGAAATTTTGATAGTTGAGCCTCATCTCAATGTTCTCCCTGCTTTATTTAATGATTTTAAAAAATCAAATAAGAAGGTAAAAATCGAAGACTTCTACTTTTCTAGTAAACTAGTTATATTGTTGTCTTTAATCTTCTAAAATAATGGGTTAAGCTTAATTGAAGATTCTTTTTAAAATCTTTTAAGCATATTTATTAGCCAATCATGTGATCTCTTAGCTTGTGGGTCAATGTCTTAATTTTTTAATTTAGCACGATTAATTTTTATTTGTGCTATAAAACAAGACATGTTCATCATTTATTTAATATAATTTATCTTACACTGAATACAATCTCTTTTTTTTAAAAAAAAATTGCAGAAGCCATTTGCTTGGCAATAATTCAACCATTATATACACATCACTCTTTTTTATAGATCTTAATTGATGAATATTTTCTATAATACATTATAGTCATAAACATTAATGCATGCCACAATCATTTTAATTTGTTTATTAATCAAATTAATATATGGATAATCACTCTGAGTCTTGATTGAACTTAATTACCACAATGCAGCATATACATATCCTTCCAAACAACACAATTCATTTAAAAATATTTCGCATAGATGTTACATAAGATTGTACAAATTATATGAAGGCCAACACCCAAAGAAAAGTAAATTCCATTACAGTTAAGCCACATGCCTACAGTTTCGCGTGTAAACACCATGAACTACACATCCTTACAATTTGTACTCATAAAATGATTTGATTCAACCAACGACTTGATAATAATTCAAATGTTTATGTCAATTATTAATTTCACTCCTTAATTTCTAATACTAGTTTGGTTCTCCATGGGGTGCTTGATAAATTCATAAACTCTAATATATTGACATTGTATCTTATACATATGAAACTCTGTTATATGAGAGCTCAAATATAAATCTTTTATAAATTGTCAACTCATTAAGTTGTATTATTATAGACATCTTCAAAACAAGATCCATCAATTTAATAATTAATCAAAGTCAATGTCTAAATCAAATCAAACATTCCATCAATTTAATACTAAGGGTTTTTTGAATTATAAGTAGTCTAATATCTCGTTCACTAGCATTTGTATCTCAATAGTAGCACCAATATTAATAAAACCACAAAATTTTATTTATAGAAGAATTCTTGTTAAGATTAAGTTTAGAACATTAAAATTTAGGCTCTAATACCAACAAAAAATACATAAATTTTATCAGGGCATCTAAATCCCTTAATATCTATTAATATCCATTATAATATAAACAAATTAATTATATACTTTTAGCCTTTAACAACATTTATGATATACCTCATGCTTTATGAGCTTAAATTCTCTTACACAAGATACATAATTAGTGACCTAAAATTTAAAGTAAAGCATAAACAATGATGCACATGACAAAAGTAGGATCAAGTAAAAAGACGAATAATAATGGGATATTATCTCTTAATGGTTGTAAAAACTATGCAACCTTCTTATTGAATATTTAATCATTTAATGTTAATATTATATAGTAGAAGTAATAAAACTTTATTTGTAAAGTGAAAATCTTGGTATAGTTTTAAGTTTACCAAATTAAGAAAAATAAAATTTATTACTTATTAATTTGGTTTATTGAAGTAAAGCTAATTTTTTTAATTGCAAGTGAAAATCTTGGCATTCAAAGGTGAAAACACCCACTTATATGCATATAATTATTATACACATATTATAGAGTCATTAGTTAGAAGTCATTTTCTTTTCATATATGAAAGTATATAAATTAATTTTAGTTAAACTGATTAATTAATTATATCTCAGAAAAAAATAGTTGATGGTTTGTTTCTGCAGCTACGACGGGACACGCGCTTATGCACTATCGAAACTGGCCAACATAATGCATGCGAAGGAAATAGCAAGACAGCTTAAAGTGGGTTTACACTTAATATAAAATTCTATTGGACATTTACATTCATGCCACCCACTACCTATGTATTTACATATCTAACACTCGAAATTTTCATATGATAAAAAAAATATCATTATCTTTTATGCATTGGTAAGATGACATATATGTAAAAATTAAAATTTGGGTGCTATATATATAAATATTCTTATTGATTGGTTTAGTATATATATATATGTAAATCTTCATAAATTTATTTACATTTTTATTTGAATTCTTCAGGAAAGAAAAGTAAATGTAACCATAAATTCGGTTCATCCAGGGATAGTAAAGACCGGGATAATTAGAGATCATAGAGGCTTGATCACAGGTATGTCATTTTACATAAAAAAAAAACCTTGGAAAAAGGGGTATGCTTTAGCTTTTATTTGAACACATTTGGTTTGAATATAAGCCACAATTTTTCTAATGTTAAAGATAGAGTTTTAGGTCCGTTTGGGGCTGCTTATTTGGTGCTGTCGTGTTTTGAAGGGGTAATCTGCACTTTGGCAGCTTATGCGTTTTCAAAACGCTGAAAACGTTTTCAAAATGCCGCACCTGTCTAGGTGTGGTGGCAGTCGTTTTCAAAATGCCGCACCTGTCTAGGTGTGGTGGTAGTTTTCTGGCTACTCTACTGTATGACTTTTCCAAAAAAATAAAAATTTGCAATAGTTATTGCACCTAGCTTATCAATAGATTATTTTTAATCAGCTTATCAGCAGATTATTCAATAAGCTGTAGCTGCCCCAAACAGTCAGTCAAAATCGAAACATTGAAAAATTGAACAGAACGAATCAAATTTAATTGGTTAGGTTCTACTTCAAAAAGTTTTGGTTTTTTATTTTTATAATCTTAATAGTTGAATTTCTATTCTCGATTTTCAATTTTAATTTTCATTTAATTAAAATTTAATAAATAATTTTAAGTTATATCTATAGACCGAGAGAGAGAATAGTATGTACATAAATCGATTTTATTTTTTCTTAGAAAAATGTAAAAATAGTCAGCTTTAATGTTAAATAACTCCAAGTGGTCTGATTCTATGCAGACCTGCTGTTCTTTCTGGCATCAAAATTTCTTAAATCAACAGCACAGGTGACAATAAAAGTCTCAGTTTCCCAATGAACTTTCTCTTCAAATCTGCTATCAAATCAAATGAGTAATAATATCTTGTTTTTCTCTTGAAAACAGGGGGCATCAACAACGTGCTACATTGCCATAAATCCGCAGGTTAACGGAATTAGTGGAAAATATTTTGCAGACTGCAATGAAAGCTCCTGCTCTCCTTTAGCAGACGACGACTGGGAAGCATTTAATCTTTGGATGAAAACTACTATTTTGCTTCATAAATTTATGTCTTAGTTGACTGGAGAACTTCAGAAAGATAGCAAATTTGTGGGGTTAATTTGTAAGGATGTAACCGATTTAAAAGAAAGAATGAATTTAAAAGGCATAATGTGGAAATTTCAATATTGTTTTGAAGTGGAGTTCATAAGCTGTTGAGTTAGCTTGAACTAAAATTCAATGTATCCTTGGTTGAGTTCCAACATTCTCCTCACCTCCTTAACATCTAAACCTGCTTGTACAGACAGAGATTGCAACTGGAGCTGCAGTAGGAACTGTTTCAAGGAAAATGTGAATGACTCATTTAAATCTCATCCAGTTTATTCATTCGGGTGTGCTGGTCCACATCATGATCGACTTTAATGAGCTCATTGAATGTGAAATGTAGTATAAAAATGATTCGAATTTATTAGAACTCTAAATGCTCATTTTTTTTTACAAATTTTATAAACCTTTATCATACCTTCTAACCCATTCTCTATTAGTTAAGGTATGGTGTGACCTCTCATTCCATTCAGGCCATGGATGATTTCAAATTGGTGCCTCTTCCACAAGAACTACAGGTGACGCCGCCGATAGAGATTGCACGTGTTTAAAGATCAAAACCAGGGTCCCCAAATATATCAACTCCTAGACAATTACTATTTTTTTTAACAAAAATTTTGCTTTCCTTTTTCGTTTTTCAAATCCACCTTCTGTCTTTCATTTGGTAAATTGTAATTCAAGGAGTTCGCCCACAAATGAATAAATCATAAAAAGATGAGACGCATAAGAGAATAAAAGAAATACTTATGGAAAATGGGCAATCCAACAAACACTAAGTCTTCATATTTATAGAGATATGGTAGAGGACTCAAATTAGAGGGGGTTGTTGGAATTAAGGCTGTCAAAACGGTTCGTTGTTCTCGAACAGCTCATGTTCGGCTCATTAAGCTCGTGTTCGGCTCGGTCGCTAAGTTAACGAGCCGAACTGCTAATCAATTATATATATACCCTTAATGAGTAGTATTTTTTAAAAATTTAATTGACTACAAGGCTACAATGATTTATAATCAATTAAAAGTATTAATGAAGAAAATAGAGTAAAAATTATTAAATTTGATTCAAATGATGTTTTAAATTTTGACTCAATCATTAACATCTTATGACTATGTGATTAGGGTTGTCAAATTGACTCTTTGTTCGTGAACGGCTCGTATTCGGCTCGCTAAGCAAACGAGTCGAACACGAACACACTTTTTGAGCTCGAAATATAAACGAGCCGAACACGAGCTGGGCCTGGGCTCGCTTGTGTTCGGTTGTTTACACCCCTAGTTGGAATCAAATAATTTTGTTAATATATACTTTATATACCTGCAAAGATTATTATTCTCTTTTTATTTTCTTAACTTTCCTCTCAAAGAGGAAAAAATTGTTAAACTAAATTTGTAAGATTGAAAGCCTTTGGAACGAGTTTAAGGTGTGAAGCTCTACAACTCCTTGAGCCAGCTTGATAGTTCGACCAAATCTATTCGACCAAATAAATTGGCCAGGGAACTGGACTGTTGTGGATAGCATGCTCATGATGATCTAGACATGCCCGACTAAGGTAGCTTAGAAATTCTCCAAAGAGATCAACTCTCCATTAAAAAGCTGTGAAAACCAAACTGTGTCCAAACCAAATCAAAAAAAAATTTAAGGTTCATTAATCCAATCGAGGTCGAAATGAGGGTTGAAGAGGAAGACATAATAATCTTTTTCTTTTTGTTTTTACTCTAATCCTTCCTTAATTCCCTTAATTATAGTGCAAGTTATTACCAAAGCTAGAATATTTGTCATCTATACTGTCTTCTTCAGTTAAACTGTCTTTTATAAGATTTTATATATTGAACAGTGAAACCAAGGCAAACTTTTTTTATATATAGAATGCTTGCTTTAATCAGAGTGAAATATTGTGCTCCAAATTTGTTTTATATAATGGAAAACCAATTCAAATTTGTTTGGAACTGTAAGCTTCATAAAATCATTACAAAAAAAGGATTTTTGTGATATCCCAACATGATTATTAGTAGGTGCCCGATGCACCCGAAATGATATAAAGTACTGATAATTAATGTACGTATAAATGTCAATTAAGTGGTATACAATTTGATTCTATGTATCGATCCCACAATAAACGAGTCAACTTTCTACATTGGGAAAAATTCTAGCTTGCAAGTATTAAGTCTAGCCTATAGTTTGAAATTTAGTTTTTTTAAAGCTATTAATACTAAATTTTGGTAAGAGTGAAGCCTAATTGAAAGTAGTGCAAAAACTGTAAAGTTTTCTATCAATTCTAAAACTCTCCCATGAAGTGAATTTTAAGAATCTAATTTTAACTATGTGATAAAATTTGTAAGTGACAATCAGGAACAACTCTCCTCCTTATTCCTTCTCAAGAGTCTTAGAAGGTTTAAAAACCGCACATGCTTAATTCTCTAAGTCAAGTGATCATTTTCTATTATGATTACGCTATTCCGGAAGCAATATCCCTATTCTCTTAAGTCAGTGTTAGTTAACATAACTATTCCACTAGCCTACTCCTGTACAAATAATTCACAACAAAACTGTAAAGTTTTCTATCAATTCTAAAACTCTCCCATGAAGTGAATTTTAAGAATCTAATTTTAACTATGTGATAAAATTTGTAAGTGACAATCAGGAACAACTCTCCTCCTTATTCCTTCTCAAGAGTCTTAGAAGGTTTAAAAACCGCACATGCTTAATTCTCTAAGTCAAGTGATCATTTTCTATTATGATTACGCTATTCTGGAAGCAATATCCCTATTTTCTTAAGTCAGTGTGAGTTAACATAACTATTCCACCAGCCTACTCCTGTACAAATAATTCACAACAAATTTTAACTAATCAATTAGTCAAATTGATAGTAAATTAAAAATAGAAGGATAACACATCATCACCATAAAACTCTAGTTAAATCTCTACGTAACAATTAAGCATGAAATTCCTAAATTACCATCTCGAAGGAGAAAAACAATTGCTCGCTACTCGTGCTTTGAAATGACAAAATAAAGAGTTGTGAATGAAGAAGTCAATGGAAAACACCGAGGAGTTGAAACACTGTATTTTTTTCCTCCACAAGTTTCATAGGATTACACATGCAATTTGCACTAAAATTCCTCACTCTCCTCACAAGAATCTCTCCACACTTCAAAAAATATTTTAGACTCTCTAAAATGATTGGATACCACCTTCAATGATTCGACAAAACAAATTTAATTTCCCTTCACAAGAGGATAAATTTAAATCGTCAAAACGATCAAACCACATAACATGGCGCTTAAGCATTGTAACATGGTGTTGGGCTCAAGCACCGAGGTGTCACAAATCCAGTTCCCCTTTTTCCTTATCATTATTCTTCATGCCATTTAGATTTAGGGCATTGGGTGCCTAGACGTTAGTCTATAGCGCTTAGGCATTGGACCATGGCGCTTAAGCGCCAACAAACAGGTGCCCCCCATCTGGATTATAAGTCTCGACTGATTCGAGTGCATGCTTTGGATGCTTTGGGGCTCCTCCTATGCTTAACACTAAAATTTCCATCATTTAATATCACATCATCCTTCTTACCAAGATTATGCAAAATACAATACAAATATCTTCAAAAAAATATAAAAATAACATAAAATTAGATTAAAATAAAAGATGAAATATCACATTTCAACTACACATCATTGCCAATCTACAGAATGTATTGAACTCGGTTCAAGGGCCAAACAATATATTCATTAATAAAAATATATTGAAACTCTGAAATTTGATTAACTATAGAACAAAAGCCAGAGAATACAAAACAAAAATTTACTAAAAGCTTTCTCCGTATAATAAATTGTGAAATTTTGCTTCTAATGAATGGTAACCTACAACTTATACTTAAATTATACATTAAGTAGTCTACTAGAGTCTCAATAAATTGAAAATCAAAAATTTAATCAATTAAGTTATTGTAAAAAATGTTTCACACTTCATCAGCTATTTTATTTCTCATCTCGACCATCATTTCATCGAATCATTTGAACAAATTCCATAATATGAATCTATGTAAAACAAAAAAAAAAAAGACAGGTGTACGAGTATTTATATCTAACTATTATGACACTCGAGCTTGTAGTCAAATCGAGCATATTGGCAAAATAAATTCATCAAGCTCGAGATTGATCAATTTTGACATTATTATGACAGTCAAAAGTTCAATGGATGTTATTTGATCGAGGAAATCTCTCTAGGTCATTCGATGGGGTGGTTAGAATTCCTTGCTTCCCCCCCCCCCCAACTTGAGAGAGGGAGAGATATTGAGATAAAAGGAGACTGAAGCTTGAAGAAGGAGCTGAAGTCCAACATCCACTTATGCAATTGCCAGCCACAATAGATCGTTATCCACTTGCCACTTTTGACCATCACCAATTATCCTTGACTCATTGCATAAACTGCGGAATCATGGCGAAATATAATCCCGACGTACATTACAATGTGATGAAGCATTCAACAAAATAATGCATACGGTGTAACAATACCTTCTGAAGATATAACAATACATCTTCAATATAATGCACCGACACACCCTAATGACGGTGTTACAACACACCTTATATACAGTACAATGATGCCTCCAAATGACAATGAAATAATGCAGCCACAAATATGATGCAATAATGCACCATGATGACAACATAACAATACACCCCACATATGTTGCAATGACCCCAACAAAATGGTGCAATAATGTACCTGAAATATGGTGTAACATACCACAATTATAGTATAATGCACCCAACATATGGTGCAACGACGCCTCTAAAAAAACTCAAAGATGGTGTAAATATGTACCCCACATATGGAGCAATGACGCCTCTGAAAGGCAGTAAATTTTTCCAAATTCCTATAAGACTCTTTGTAACCAATCATATGACCTACGTGAACAACTACGACTTATTTGATCCACAGCTTGTGCAGCTCTCGAATTCAGCCATTGTGGCGTACAGACATTATTATAACTCACAACTACAACCTACATAACCAACTATAGCTTGTGTGGCTCATAACTTCGACTCTTGTAGCCTACAAACGTCATCACACTATAAACTATGTGACTCACATCTCGTGCAACTTTTGACTCTAGTTCTTACATCCCATGAATATCATTGCAGCATACTATTACTGTCTATGTGACCAACTACAACCTATATGACTCACAACTTGTGCAGCTACCAATTTTGGCCCTTATAGCCTACGAATGTCATCACAACTCATCACTATAACCTACATACATCATCCCAACTCAGTATTATGGCTTACGTGACCAACTACGACTTACATGACTCACAACTCATGCAGCTTCTGACTCCAGCCCTCACATCTTAAGAATGTCATCACAACTTACCACTACAACCTACATTGTTCGCAACTTGTGCAACTCCCAACCCCATTCACACTACATTACAACTCACCACTATGACCTATGTGACCAACTATAAACTAGATGATCCATAGGTAGTGCAGCTCCCAACCCTAGCTTTTGTGGCCAACAAACATCATAACAATTAACCACTATAACATATGTGGCTCACAAGTCTTATGGCTCCTGAATCCAACTACTATGGCCTACACTTGTTATCATTGGTCACATTTCACCACTACGACCTATGTACCTACGTGGTTAGTAACTCGTGTAGCCTATGAATGTCATCACTGCTTACCGCACCGAACTATGCAATTCACAATTTACAACTTCATATTATGACCCTTTTGGAACCTACACTCGTGAAACAACCATATGTGGTCCATACTGCCAACTATCACCATCATTCTCAACTACGACCTATACGACAAACTGACACTACAACCACCGTCTATAACATTCATAACAAATTTCTGCCTCCATAGCAATCCACTATGACCCTTGTAGTTTGCTATCATCAAGAGCTACATTAAATACAAGCAGACTACAACTATTATTGATAAACTACTTTTGTACATTTACAATGATCAATTTTGTAACTCCATCTTTCCTGTGTTTGGAAAAGAGTAGACCTGTGTCCTCGATATTCATGGTAGATTGCTTCAACTGTGCTAGACCCTGTGATTTTTCTGCTATCCATAGTTTTTCAAATAAAAATTTAAGGTGTTTCCTCCTACTTACTTTTCTTTAATTACCTAAGTCTGATAGTTTTTGTGTATCACTAATAAGTTAATTACTTACTCTACTGCTGCAACCTTTTGGCGTGCACGAATCACAAATGACATTTCTTCAAGAAGGGACTACTGAATTCATTCTTGAAAACTTGTGTGGTTGTGCAATATACTTCTCTTTTGCTTTCTATTCCTCTCATCCAATCAACACTATGTTCCTTTGGTGTGATCCACATATAAGTATAATTACGAACATTACATAGGTGCAAGATATGAGACAACTATTAACATATTTGTTTTACATAATTTACCAAGTGATTAATTTCAATGTCTTTATTATTGACGTATGCTGGAAATAGATAGTTGTATCTCAAATGGAATTTATTAATTTATGAACTCTTTGCTTCATAAATATAAATATACATCAACATTAACAATAAAGACTGATATATAAATATAGAACACACCAATTCTCAATAAGATATTAATTGTATATTTACACTAAATCACTAATTACGTAATTAATATAGTATTTTATATAAATATATAGGGTAAATATAATTCCAAATAGAATACCTACAAATATTATTATAAAATTTTTACATATTCCTAATATATGGTAATAAATAATTAGTTTACTCTGCTTATTAATTCTCCTCCTTCATGGTAAATAAGGGTGTACACAAGCCGAGTTTGAGCGAACTCGAGGTTTGTTCGTGCTCAACTCGCTAATATTTATTTTGTTCGCATTTGTGTCGTTTATAATTTGAGCTAAAAAAGTTTTTCTTGTTCGACTGACTTACTTAACAGATGATTTAAACACGAGCTGTTTAACAAACCAAACACTAACTATTCGCAAACAACGAGCTTTCATAAGAGCCTTACCATGAGATGGGATTGGGCTTAGGCCTATTTTTTTTCTTATGGGCATTTAAATACATAACATAGAATTCCTATCTTTTTTCAATAACTAGTTCCAATCTATTTATATATCTAACACATTTAATTATTTAATAATTTTGAGAAAAAATAAGTCGAACATAAAACAACAACAACAACAACAACGCCTTAGGGTCTGTTCGGGGCAGCTGCAACTTATCCAACTTATCCAAATAAACAACTTCTCTTGATAATCTGCAGATCAGTAGCTTATCTTGATAAACTGGCTCACTGTTTTATTTGTGCGTTTGTAAAACAACTGATTCTAGATAAATGACTGTTCTGCTTTTATTTTGGATAAACTATTTAGCAGTTTGGTATGCACGTTTGGAAAAGAACTATTTTGTAATTTTTTATAGATAAATGTTTAATTTGACACACAACAGTTGTGCTGTTTATAACAAAACTGCAATTACTGCAAATTTTATATTTTAGAACCAACAAAACCCCTTCATAACAGTACAAAAAAGATATACTTCTCAATTAATAGTGAGCATCAGTAAACCTAAAAAAAGAATAAATAACATGTTAAAATTATATGGAAAAAAAATGAAAATATTCATTTTAAAATGCAGATGCATGTCACGAGGAATGCTATCTAGTTGGGACGCAGAACCCAGAGCAACATTGTGCGGTTGGAATGTCGTTGAACATTGAGCTCTTTGGATCGAGAAATTCATAAGCAAATTTCGGATTCAAATGTGTTGCAAATCCTATTCGTCGACAGACACCATATCAAGATAAGCGTAAACAAAAATTACAAGCCACAAATGAAATTATCGCATGATAACCATTCCGAGCAAAGAAAGTTGTGAATCTTACAGACGAGCGAAGAATGTAGAAGACAGTTGTGCGAGAGGAGGAGGATAAACACACTAAAGAGTGGGGGTCGAGAGATCCGGGAGAGAGGGAGCGAACGGGAGTTAGGGAAGAGGGAGCAAGGGCAGGTGCGAGATGCATCTTTCGCTCAAATGAAACGCAGATCGCGGGGAAGGACTCGCGATCGAAGATTAATGTAAATGGAAAACGTCGCTTTCAGAAATGCGGAAGGGACACAATTTCCAAACAGACGGTGACGTTTTTAAAACACCACTGCTGTGACTAAGCTGCCCCAAACACAACCTTAATCTCACTACATGAGGTCAACTATACAAGCATGAATGGACAAATTTTTTATTTGTGTTCGATACATTTATAAATAAAGCTAAAAAAAAAATATTCTTAACTTGAGAAAGGCTAACTTTATTTTTGACAGCCATAAAATAAATAAATAGGTAAATAAATAACTAAATAATATATATATGTTGGTTGAAATCATATTATATTTTGATTAAGAGGATTGAGTTTTAGTTCTTATATATATATATATATATCTGTGTGTGTGTGTGTGTGTTTTGAACTGAGATAACGGCGAGAACCGATGGGCATTCAAATTGGATCTAAGGTGGAGAGAGTGGACGGGCGGCGGCTTAGTTACAGGGATTTCATCGATCGATATCTGAAGAAGAATCTCCCCGTAGTGCTTACCGGTCTTATGGATGGATGGCAGGCCTGCACTGATTGGGTCACCGCCGATGGCCGTCCAAATCTCCGCTTCTTCACTGACCATTTCGGCAAATCCATAGTTCAGGTCTTTTCTATTTCTAGTTTAACTGCCCTTTTAGTAGTTTCCCATCGAGTATGAGTATAAGATTTTATTCATTTGGGTTTCGATTTTGTTCCCTTCATTTTAAAGTAAGCTGTGTACTAGTGATTTGCTTAGCCTGATAATTTAGAGGAAAAGCTTCTGTGTGGCTTAGGGATGGCGGGGGACTTAATAGGCCTGAGTAATAAAGGGAAATGATATGAACAGGAGTTAGGAGGATATAAGGATAACTGGATTACTCTACAGAAGGTTAAATACGCAAAAGACCGGCAGAAACTTTAAGGAGGCAAGCGAGGTTCAAATTCATCAGCGCAAGGGGTTTTAGAAGCCTTTTTGATATGCTTATAGAATGATCCAAGCCAAGACCCAAAAGTCTCATTTTCTTCTGCCAACTTACATCAAAGGGCTTAAGAAATGATAAATCTGAAGCATAAAAGAAAAAAAAAAAAAAGAAGACAATTAATCACAAACAATGACATACATATAAGCAGATATAGACAAAAACTAAAAATAAATTGAAAATGAAAATCAATACCTTTTTTTGCTCCTGTTCTGAGTGGCTTGTCAATTTGTCTCGATTCTCTAGCGTTCTGGTGGTTAGCGTTGTCACCTACCCATGCCGGTAAAAGCAATGAATGATGGTCTTATTGTTTCAATGAATGTTTGCATAATTTTTTTTTATGGCATAAGCGTATTTTGCTTCTGAATCTTAAAATTTATTTATTTCAGTTATTTTTCAATTAAGCAATATAATACTTTGACTTAAAATTACTTGGACTTGGATCTATAGACTTGTGTGCCAAATATTCATATGAACTGAGGAATTGTGAAAGATTCATGCTTGAATGTACGAGTTTACAAAAATTAGTAGATTAAAGACAAAGTAATCTAGAATCTACTCATTAAAAAACGATGAGAAAATTCCTAATAATTTGAAATTTAAATTGTTCTCGAAAATAGGTTCAATCCCTTGTGATTCCCAATCTTAATTGAGTCTTGTTTTTGGAGTCTCTTAAGACTTTAGGAATTTTTTCAGTTCTCTGTGAAATGTCATGTTGAATCCATTTGAAACTATTGTGATCCTCAGATAAACCCTAGGTTTTCATACATTAACTTGGGCCAAATTCAATTTAATCTTATCTTAATTCAGTTCTCTGTGCTTGGCCCTTCATCTAACTCAATATAAGGGTTACCATTACTCTTAATGAGTTCAAGAGAGCTTTAAGTCCCTTGGGACCAAATTTGAAATCTATTTGGCTTATATGTAACCAAAATAACAATTAATCATAACCTTTTCTAGGGCTCAATTTACGTTTGCTCTGCTTATTTGCCTTTGTTAACAAATAATTTTTGTGCTTTTGAATCCAAAAGTTTTTAAGTCCACCTTATAGTCTTAAGTGCTAAAATCATAGACTAACCTTATAAAATGTAAGTTTTTTTGCTAAATCCAATTAAGCAAATATTTATATTTTTATAAACACAGAAGTCATGGATAATTTCATAACCTATTACCTCAAAGCTATATGTTAATTTCCTTAATTCTTAACCTCTAAGGCATAGGTTAAATTTACCTATTTTTAGCCTTGAAGCTATTGGTGCATTTTTTGTTCCTTAGCCTCAAAACTATAGATTCACACCATCACCTATATTTGCTTAGTCTTCAATCAAATAAATGTTTTCTAAGCTTAGGCCTATTAATTTAGCCCATTTATGCTAGTGACCCTTTCATTCCCTAGCTTCAAAGCCAATCAAGTAGATGACTCCAAACTAGCACTAATTCTAAGTTTCATCATTCAACCAAAACAATTGAACTTATTCTTTTATATTTTATCTTCAAATAAAAATTAAATCATTTTTTAGCTCACTTTCAGAGCCCCTTCCTTTTAGATCTGTCCTTCTAAATTAGATGAATTTTGTTAAAATCCTAAAGGCTTATTTGGGATCAATTTTGTTTTTTTTTCTCGTTGTTTTAATAACATGTTTGTTTGGTACGCTTTTCACATATATTTGTTTTTTTTTTGTTTTTTCTCGTTGTTTTAATAACATGTTTGTTTGATACGCTTTTCACATATTTTTGTTTTTTATTTCTAAAACAAATAAATATATTTTTGAAAACACTCAAAACAACATTAAGGTGTTTTTATTGTTTTAAAAAACTATCATATCTTAATCAAATGCACCAAACTTGTTTTGTTTCAAATCAAAACATAAACAAAATAAAATAATAGCAAAAAATAGAAAATCAAATACAAAAGCGATCCCAAATGGCCCCCAAGTAATTTCCCCTGCACATGTTTGCTTGGCCCCATAAATAAATTTTTTTTTAGCTAAATTCTTAGTGAATTATTATGTCATGACAATAATAACTTTAGAAAAAATACTTAGGTATTTTTGTTACAGTGGTGTGTCATCTTACTCCAGAGATGTAACTTCTATGTCATTTTGTCTTAAGATATCATGAATGACAAGTTTGCTTCAACGAGTAGCTCTCATTCAATAGGTCCATTATAACTCATAAAGGATATGGAGCCCCTTTAAAAATTAAATAAAAGCTTTAAGTTACAAATAACTTTAGAATAAAGTAGGATACATAATCATAGTAGTTGCGTGATATTTGAAAATCATAGAAATGAATTAAAAAGTGATAATAACATTATGAAATTATGAGTAAATGTTGCATTACATGTATGTGTATGATACACGACAATATGAAGAACACTAAACAATCTTGGTAGATCATAAAATGACTTTATATAAAGAACATTCTATGAAGATAAACTTTGATAATCTATTCACATGTCATCTAACATGATAACAAAATAATGCACTTTTCATAGTCGTTTAAGTTATCAACAGTTGTTGGTATTGCATCTATAGAATTTGAACCTGTGTAAAATATTTGTCCTTTTTTTTTGCTAAAACTCTTTTACAACCAGCTCTGTCTTGTACCATAGAGTTCCTATCTATTCTTCATTTACTTTGTATATCCTTTTGTTTTGTAATTTCTTATTGCCGTTGGGGAATTTGATCAATATCCAGTTGTTTTTCATATGAAAAGAGCCCATATCCTCTTTGGAAAGTCACATTTAATGTATTCTTTTACCAGTAGGGGTTTTCATAGCACTCGAGTTCTCTCTTGCATGATTGCATCTATAATTAAAATATAACAAATTGAGGAAGACTATTGATTAGTTGGCTTGCAAGTTCTTTGTGATCTTTTGACTTGAGTCACAGGTGTACTAGATTAAGGTTTTTCTTGAATTTCATGTGATGCATCTCGTCTCTCCATTACAGAGAACTCCTCTAGTTCAATATACTCTGTTGTGTATGTTTACCTTGGCTGCATTCCTTGATCTATTTTTTTATAGTGTGGATTTATTGTAGATAATATTGCTATGCCTAGCAATTTTTTTACTTTCAGTGTACTAAAAATTGTTGCCGGGCTCATCTCTCCCATATCCAATTAGAGTAATCTATTTGCCCTTGTTGCATGCTTTGGATATTTTTTGTCATTTTCTTATTTTTGTTTGGTGTACATTATTGTAGATAACATTTCTATGCTTAGCAATTTTCTTACTTTCAGTGTTCTAAAAGTTGTAGCTGGAATCTTCTTTCACATATCCAATTAGAGTAATCTACTGCCTTTGTGGCATGTTTTAGATATTTTGTATTATCTTCTTGTTCAACTGGCACAATGTGCCATATATCAATTTGTTATTCATGTCTACCTAATTTATCATCAGTATGTGTGGGACATTTGATGTTTTTGTTGAATTTATGAACTGCATTTTTCTCTCATAATTAAAGCTTTTCTATAGTTTCCTTTTGATATTTGTGTGCTTCCAGCTGGATTTTGGCAGCATTTTAGATGCATATATGGAGTTTTGCCTTCTTCTCTTTTGACCCGTAATTATGTTGTTTGTTTTATGAATTTTGCTAGATTTCTGTTTTTGGCCCTCAAATTCTCCTCTCACTGCTTTTGCATGAATTTTATTCCACTTTCCTTCAGGTGGCAGATTGTCGTAAAAGAGATTTCACAGATCAGAAGAGGGTTGAGATGTCCGTCTCTGAGTACGTTGACTATTGGCTTGGTATTTCTTCTATTGACCATAATAAAATTGCTAGCAGCAATGGAGCCACTGAATCTTTGTTGTACCTTAAGGATTGGCATTTTGTCAAAGTAGGTTGCAAGTTGCCTCTGTTTTACTCGCGTATAGGGTTTAATTGCTTACTATTTCGGTTGTAATTACTGAAATGATAAATAGTTGCAAGCTCCGTTTGTCTTTTTCAAACTGAGTATAGTGAGTTTTGATATATGCAAACGCTCTTTGAGATATTTCAGTGTTTATGTCAAATTCACGTTCATCTGTCTGGGCCCTTTCTCTTTTTAAGATAAAAGTGAGACTCTTAATTTGTTGTTGTAGGTTCAACGAATATTTAAGTTGTTGAATAAAGATGCTGTCTTAATAAACATTTGAAATAGCTTTGGAACTTCATATTTGTTACCATGGAAAAATATCCATGCTCATGAACTGGGCATGCGTTTACTTCTCTTTTCTGGAACACTTTGCTTACCGTCTAGATGGTTTCCTTTACTTATTGTTGCTGCCATGCTGTTGCACTTCCTCCCAACTTTCCCTTAAGAATTTTTCATGTTTTATTTTTATAATATTTTCTCAGAGCTTTCTCCTTCGCTTTCCATTATTAAAACTAATAGATAAAAGCTTTGGAAATTGTTGCAAGCTTCAGAGATTGAATCTCGCCTACATTGAATTTGTGACACCTAAACTATCCTAAAAGAAATTAACTGTTTGGCTCTTTATCTTTGGTTACCTCACGCTCAAATTTCACTATTTGTGAATTACCTAAAAAAAATTTGCGTTCATAAATGTTACTTTTGAATAAGATGTAATATGAATAGCTTATTTTTGCCTTTTTCTACTTGCTGCCTTATTATCACTCTTTTGTGATTAATTTCAGGAGTATCCTAATTATGTGGCCTACACAACTCCATCTCTTTTTGCTGATGATTGGCTCAATCTTTACCTTGATAGTCACTGCTTGCATCGTGATTCAGATATTACTCGGGACAAAAATGAAATAAATTGTGCCGATTACCGCTTTGTTTACATGGGAGTTAAAGGTTTATTGGATGCACATCCATTTTTATGGCTTTTATTACTGTCAGCTATTTATTAAAATAATTTTTTCATCATCTTACTTTCTACCACTTTAAATTAAAGCTTCAATTCCATTATTTAGTACCATCCGTTGATATATTATTATTAACAGTTTTCTTGCTTCTTTAGGTACTTGGACCCCACTTCATGCTGATGTTTTCATGTCATATAGCTGGTCTGCTAACGTATGTGGCACAAAACTGTGGCTTTTCTTACCACCTTCACAGTGTCACCTTATCTTTGATAGGTAATTTTGCATGAAAATTGAATGAAGACTAAGTTCTATTGATATTAATAACTCTACATTGCTTATTGAGTTTTATCATCATGATAGTGATAGTTAAGTGGGTTTTCTTACTCGTCTGCTTTTGGGTTTGCCCAAGTTATCTCATCCATACCCTTTAAAAGTTGTGATATCCTGCTTTTTTGCCTCTATTATGGGAATGAATATTGTTTTTGTTTTATCTTTTACTTATCTGTTGTAATACAAGCCAAACCGTGTGATCTGGTTGCTATTGGTACCAGAAGCCACAACAATTTAGGAAAACTTTTGATCAATTTAGATTAGTTATTTTTTTTTTCTCTTTTTTTTAGGTTTTTATTAACAGAGTTCATACTTACTTTTTTAATCGGACATATGAACCAGAAAAATCAATTGTTTGCACAATAAACAAATGCATTTGTTTTCTGTATGTGTGTTCTCTCACCTCTTGCCAGCATGAATTCAGTTTTGCTTTTTGTCGTTACAGGTACCTTAAAAATTCAGTCTATGATGTTTACGGTGAAATCTCTGAAAAGATGTTTCCTGGTTTTAATAAGGTAACTGATTGTACATCTGTTAAGCTATCTGATTAGCTTCTTGTTATTGTTCTTTTCTAAACACGACTTTATGTTATTCTTATCCAGGCTATTTGGTGGGATTGTACTCAAGAACAGAACGAGATTATCTTTGTACCTAGTGGGTGGTACCATCAGGTCCACAATTTGGTCAGAGCTACACCCTGGCTTAAATAGACTAGCTTTAAATTTTTTTTTGCAATTTACCTTCTCCCACTTTTAATGAAACATCATAATCATTTTTTCATTGCATAAGTGCTTTAAGGGTATTCCATTTTTTGTACTATTGAATTCCATGCATATGTTGAATCCAAAAATATTCATGGATTATGTAAATCTTTGTACCAGTTACAACAAAAGAGAAAAGAAAATAAATGAAAGAAAGAGAAGGCTAGAATAAAAATTTTTAGAATTTCACTATAGTGGGATTAAGTACAAGAACTTGTACAACTCTAACTCTCCCACGGTTCCCTATTTATAAGTTAGGCTGTAGTTTAAGTGCTATATGAAAACTATATGTTAAGTTACATGCATAAGAAGGATATATAAGAATACCCATTGATTGCTTGTTGTAAAATACAGGTGGTGTACTGCCTGATTCCACTAAAATTAATTACTCATTTTTGTGATTAACTTGGTAAAAGAAGTCGATGATATTCGTTGATGTAGTCATGGTTTGACAAGTAGTTTTTTAGCTTTGACGAACATGTCTAATTTGAATGAATAAGCCCAAATAATCCGTTAGAATCCTACGAGTTCATCACAAAAAGACTAGTTTACCATGACATCCCGCTAGTTAGGGTGAGTTCATATCAGTCCGTGGGAATCTATGCTCACTTCATGAATTAATATTGATTTGGGCTAGTCCATGCTGTTGAATCATGAGAAAGTTTTGATCCACATTTAACTCTTTTTCTCTTGTATCTTTACAATGTAGTTGCGAAAGAATAATAATAATAATAATAATAATATAATAATAATTATTATTATTATTTTCCTTAAATCACAATATCATTACTTTTGCACTTCTTTTCTTTGGAGTGAAATTAACCTAGCCTTGTCGAATTTTGTCCCACACGTGTGAGCGCAGACGCGCTCACACACACGTCCTTACATAGCTTTGTTAAGGCAAGTGATATTAGATATGTTACTTCACCAAGGCTTTCAAAAAGGATTATGGAAGTCATTGCGAAAACAAACCTAGTACTCCTCTAATTAACAACGGTCTTGATGTTTGAAGAAGATGGTCTAGTATGCTATTTATAATGAAAGACTCCCAAATTAGTTTTTTGAGAAAGTTACACATGAGGCTCTTAGCTCTACATCTCACTTATCAAGAGAATTAGTGAAGTTGCCATTTTTATAAAAATGGTTTAAGAGCTGATGGGTGAGCTTATTTTTGTTGTCTCTTACTTTATGACAAAGTTGTGCTAAATAAAAATGGCCGAGTTTAAAGTTCAACTCATTCTCATGAAGGCAGTTGCTGTAGAAGAAAATGAAGTGTTAGCTGAAATTAAATTTTTTGAGAATCAACGAAACCTTGCTTTTGATGAAGTCATTATTGTTCTTCATCAAGAATTCCAAGATTTAAGTTTTTAAATTATCTTAAGTAAAAAATTTTTGGAGTCATCCAAGTCAATTCAATCCTTAGCTTGCAGTAAAAACAAGTATTCTCTTAATAATAGAGCCTGTAAACCACGTTTATTAAAAGATTTTTTCTTGTGATCGAGAGGGATGATTTATTATAGGGGCTTATGTTTATGTGAACCTCAAATTAGGTCACAATGCTCTCTGGGTGATGAAATTTTTACTCTAATGTCTTATCTAAATATTCAATACAACTTCTAAAAAATTTACCCAATATCACTCAAATATCAATCGAGCTGAGTAGAATTTTTAGAGTACACTGTAATTGTTTTAGTCTGATTGTTGTTTAGGAAAAGTTCTTCATGCATGAGAACTTAAGATTTTCACATCGGAGATTGGATTTGTTTTTAACCATATTTCTTTTGATATTGGATTTATTTAGTTATTTGGTTTGAGAATTGCTATAAGCTAAATTTCTCATAGTTAGTTCTCTCCCTTTTGCGGAGCAATCTTGATTGAGGAGGTCAGCAGACTTAATCTTGAGAAGACTTGCTAGGAGTTTGCTACTGCTAGTGAATAAGCAGGTAAAGAACGTTAATCCTTTCAAGGTTTTATGGTCCATTACTCAGTTTTTGTAGGGATTACAAACTAAAATTTCTTGGTTGTTATGAAGACTTAGTGTTTGATTTAATTTTTTTCGTATGTGACACTAAGACTGTACTAGCAAGCATAATTTGAGCTCGAGAGAGAAATAAGAGAGAGAAGATTTGATGATTTTATTAAATTTTTATTGAAAAGCATGAGTTGATGTGACATAAGCCAATTAGAATGTGTAATAATATATTAGGATCATTGTCTGGCCTTCTATTAATAGGTTTCAGTTAAGGTTCATTGGTACATAAATGATTGAATACATTTAGGCATTAAAATTACATATCAAGACTTAATAACACTTGTAAAAAGTATTCTTGTATTTTGATAACTCTGGATAAGTCTCAAGTTGAGGATGTTATCCTTGAGGAAGAATTTTGCCATAATTCTCTTGAAAGTTCAATTTTACTTGGCAAGTAGTTTTAGACTACATTAATTAGTTACCAACCTTAGTTGTTGAGTTCGATAGGCAAGTATATCGTTACTTTTTGGTAACTTCAGCTTAGAGACGAGTTAAAAATTTGGGAAATTGGTTATAGTAGTTGAAGACTTATTGTTCCCAGTTCATGTTAACAAGTCGACTTGACAACAATCGGTATATGCTTAGTTGTAACAATATGAATTTAAGTTGGAGAGCATTATAATGTAACTATAAACATTAGTTCAGTGAACTTGTGATCGTAAGCATTGGGCCATTGAGCTTGTTAATGACTTGTGTTTGTTTGATTTAATAACTGTAGCACAATCATGATTACCTCATCCTAAAAGTTAAAGGGACATGGTGGTGAGCAAGCTTTAGCGGCTCATGGATTTTATATAACATGGGGGGCTAACTCCAAGTTGATTGCCAAGACCTTAACCCCACTGGTCTATATTTGAGGCATTAGGTCGAGTGAGTTATGCATCACTTGGTGAAGCAAAGATTGACTGTGGTGTAGCCTTTGGTATTTTTGTGGATTTTGACAATATAAGCTTTGGCTTCAAGCTGTCAGGTGGGGACCCATGTCTACTTTAATGACTTACCAACCTTAGTTGTCGAGTTCGATAGGCAAGTATATCATTTCTTTTTGGCAATTTCAGCTAAGAGACAAGTTAAAAATTTGGTGAATTGGTTCTAGTAGTTGAAGACTTCAGCTTAGAGACAAGTATATCGTTTCTTTTTGGCAATTTCAACTAAGAGACGAGCTAAAAATTTGGTGAATTGTTTCTAGTAGTTGAAGACTTCAACTTCGAGACAAGTTACCAACTTTAGCTCATTAATGACTCGTGTTTTTTTTGAGTTAATAACTGTAGCACTATCATGGACTACCTTATCCTAAGAGTTAAAGGGACATGGTGGAGAGCAAGCTTTAGCTGGCTCATGGATTTTATATAACATGGGGGGCTAACTCCAAGTTGATTGGCAAGACCTTAACCCCACTAGTTCATATTTGAGGCCTTTGGTCGAGTGAGTTTTGCATTACTTGGTGAAACAAAGATTGATTGTAGTGTAGCCTTTGCTATTTTTGTGGATTTTGAAAATATAAGCTTTGGCTTCAGGTTGTCAGGTTGGGACCCATGTATAATAGTCATGTGTTTGTGACCTTAGCATAGGTAGTATATACCAATGCCTTGACATAGAATTTAGTGCAAATCATGTATCTTCTTGGGGACGTACTAATTGCTTAGTGCAAATATCTTTGCAGATATATATGCCTTTGTGTGGCATTCGAGCATAAATATTTTTCTTTAGCGTGCATGGTGCATGAACAACAACACAAGATATGGTTTTGTTTAGTAAGAACTTTAATGTCATGATTCAATGAGGACCCTTAGATCAACTGAGTTCTTGGCATTTTCATATAATTTTTTGGTTCTATGTTATGTTAGTTTGAGAATGGGATCTGAGGAACATGTTACCTCATTTGATTTGAAGCACTTCCCTTAAAAGCATTATGGATATCTTAGTCAAGAGGTCTTGTAATTATTGGCATATAGATTCATAGAATTCTGAGGGGGATTGTAATATCTTTGACACCTCAACATGAATTTTGATGCACTGTTATGAATATGTTTATTGATAACTACTTATGGACTCCTAGACTATCGATTATGCTTCTGTATTCTTTGAGCTTCTTTTGAGATGAGATAATGTCTTGGCACATTTTTTGGAGCAAGCTATTGATTTAAACAGTTCACTCATTTTGCTTGACATCACAATTGAGTAACTAGAGATGGCCATAGGTTAAAGTTTGAATCATTACTTTGATCTTATGTAATTTTCCAGAATTTTTGTATAATTAATGCTTAACTTAATTTAAGTTTTTTATTTTTATGTTTTAACATCAATAAAAATATATTTTTGAACATCAAGCTTATTTGTTGTACATGGCCAATGTTTACGTAATTTCCCAAGATTTTTTAAAAAATAATTTATAGAGTTTAATGGATGTTTTTGCAACCCAATTATGGTTAAATTGCATTTTAATTCAAGTATTTTTATAAATGTTTATATTTCTTTCAAGGGTTTTATTGAAATTTAAAACTTCTTGCAATGTTATAACTGTAAACTTAAAAAATTTCAATATGACAATTTCATGACTTTCTTGGTTTGTTTAAATCTTTGACTTAATGAAAGAATTTTCATTTAGCATGAATTAATAGTTGTAAATTAAACGATTTGTTTGTAGGACGTGTCACATGCTAAATGATCTAAATTGATGGTAATAGGTATCATAGGTTTAAGCTGGAACTACATTGTGGTTGTTGATTGGTTGAATTGATTTATAGGCTTTGATAAGTTTGTATTTTATTGTCTAATTTAGACAAGGGGGTCCACATCACATATTGTGGACAAAGATTGATCAACTTTGTGGGCTATAACCTTTTGGTGATCCTTATGAATGCCTGTTTTAACATGGAGTGCTAAATAA